CACCTCCCAGAAACAACAGCCAATTGCATTATGTTACCATATTAAGCTCATTTTCAATCCTCATCCTGGGAGTAGATTAGTGCACACAACAAACAAGGTTTCGGTGCCCTTGCTCTGGGCCACTACTGGCCCTCACTGGCCACTGTTGGCTCCAACAAGCCTTTGATTTTTGGACTCCCTTTCTAACCCACCTACAGATATCCTTTTGTACTACACACAGGCATTAAAATCACTGTGAAATATTGTGCATTTCGTCATATCATACCTGAAATGCAAGAAATCAACCGCCTAGTTGTACACTACTCCACATTTCATCATTAACAGGGTGTGTACGTGATTGTGGGATTCCATGTCATCTTGGTCATGTCATCACACTACACAGGATAACATGTACCATATATTACAGTTGACTAATGGTGTCTGTCAGTCTCTTATATGAAGGATAGATTCAGTGTTTTTTTGCATTACCCTTCAGCTAAAAGGATTTGGCATAAAGCGCTTGTAATCCTATAACACAGGAGGCAACTGTTTGCAATCTCCACCCACAGGTGCTGTGGTCATAAATCATCAAGCATAAAGTAGAACATAGAGAGAAGGTGGGACGTGGATGAGAAGAAACTTTAAGTGAAACAGCGTAAAACATTATGCAATAAAATAACCCTTTAAATAATATGCAAACTGTAGATCATCCTACCATACAGATTGATTAGCTGCTGAGTATTATCCTCTGAGGTAAGGATTATGCATGTTATAATGCATTCAGTTGGTATCTGTGCAGATATAGCTGGAGCCAGCTGAGTCAGCAGTGTGGTGAGCTACTGCCACCCAGAGGAGGATGAGGTTGTCAGGGTAATTCAGCAGTCATTATCAGCTGCATGGAGAGAACTGTTTCTATTTATGAGCCATATTTGCATTAATAATGGATCTCTGCTCAGATCTCTTTGATCACTTTATCTTTATATGTCACTTGTTGTGGCTCTAAGAGAAGTTTACCTTGAATACAGGTATTGTGAAAAGGATTTTTTTCTGCATTATTTGTAGCCAAACAACAAAGGATCTTGGATTTAGATTTTTGCTTAAAGGTCCAGTGTGTAGGATTTAGGGGGAACTATTGTCAGAAATAGTATATCAAATTCATAACTACTTTTTCATTAGTTTATAGCCACCTGGAAATAAGAATCAGTTTTTTCATTCATCATTTATCAGTGTTGTGTATCTAAAGTGAATCCTACATTCTCCGGTTTAAAAAAATGTGCAGCCTATGCCCAGAATAAAAAAACATTTAACATTAACATTTAGCATCTCATCAAAATATGAGTCATATGTCTACCTCCTGGCTCCTTTTCTTTTACATTTTGCCATACCTCAATGGTGGTGGCTAGTCTAGTCTAGTCTAGTAACTGTTAATTCCGAATCTAAAAAAGGAAAAGTCTTGGAGGAAAATAGAGAGTTTGCATGGACAGATTTAATTGCTTTTACCAACAATGGTGCAAATTTAAAGCACCAATAATACCTCGACTGTACACCATCTGATGTTTGTATTTGGACATAAAATATCTGCTTATGATCAGTGTCTGAGCCCCATTTACTTGTCACATTTTGCCACCCCACTGCATTCCCGTATGCACCACAATACACATAAAGCTAGCACAGTGTTAGCTAACTAAGCTAAATGACACAGTTACATAGCTAAAAACAAACTATATGATTGGTTGAGGCCTTGCCGTGTCATTGAGTGTGAAAGACTTTGAGGCCAGCTTAGCTTTCATTTGAAGCCCGTCATGACCGTCAGCAGCAACAAGTGGCAGGCATCAGTTTGCTGCTTCATGTCACTGGCTTCCATTGACTTGACTTGTAGTCCATTGCTGTGTCGCTCATGTGAATGCAGCATTAGAATGAGCCGTTTATATCTACATATGGAGCTAGTCCTCTTCCACCAAGGTCACCATGTTGTTCTACAGCAACCCAGGACGGACAAACCAATCATTGACTCTTGATAGGGCCATTTGCGTTTTCATTCTGTCACCTCAGCCACAGTGGTTCTCCTACATGCTTGGCATACAAGAGAAGTTTCAGTTCTGCAACCTCACCAGTAGATGCCACCAAATCCTACACACTGGACCTTTAATAAAAACTTCATATACCTTCAGGAAAGTGTTTGGAAAACAGATGATACTCAACATGCAATGTTGCCAAAAATTTTAACTGTAACCGTAGAGCTTTGAAATATAAAACTGGAGAAGAGAAGTTTGAGAAAAAAATGTAATGAACTTTTTATGGTTTATTGAGGCGTTAGTTACTGCATTTTACTTTGCAGCCATGAGGGTCTGTTTTGTGTTTAAAAGCATCATTGCATTATAGCTCAAAAACCAATGTAGCCTTATGTTCTCTGATGTTCCAGCATAATTGATTCAGCTTTAAATGGGGTTACAGTGAGGATCATGTCCTCCCAGTTAAGCCACAGGGAGATTTCAGCTCATCAGTTTTAGTGTTATTTTATAAACCCTGTTCAGCAGACGGGCCATTCAATGCAAGTTTTAGTTGATGACAAAAATCTTTCTTGTGACATAATGATGAATACTGTTATGGCTGTTATGGCAGCACTATGAGCAGTCGCCACCAGGTGTCACTTTTGTACAATTTTACAGTTGAATCATGCGTATGGATATTTTGACATATTGTGTGACAAACTGATAATTCTCAAGAGAAAGGTTTTAATTATTGCCCTTTTCAGGACAGCAGCAGGCAGATCAGAGGTAATCTTTTCTGCAGAGATTTTCCAAAGCGCTCACAGCATCATAAACAACTGGACAAAAACCTTCAGTAAATTACATGCATTTAAGATTCTTATGTCTTTGTAAGTTGACCTGTTGGATAAAATGCACAGTATAAATGTGTGCTTCATCACATGAGTTCCTGTCATTCAACTTTTTAATTACTATGTTTTCGTAAAGTATGTATTTTCTATGGTTGTAACTCTATGATGTTTCCTCCCTTGGGAACTACAGCAGTGAAAAGAGCAGTGTTAGTTTCAGTTTTTACTTTCACTGACCTATTTCCAGCAAATATGTCGTAGTGACATAACTTACATGCATGCATACAACACATCAGTGGATAATTAGAATGTGTAGTATCATTGCTGGATGGAGTAATAAACATTATGACTGCGTCTTGATGTGCGTGGGTGTGTGCACAGTTACTGTAAAGGAAACTTAACTCCATGACAACCAGCGGTTGTGGCAGTGGAAGACGTGGGTGTACTCTGACCCCCATCGTCTAACCTAACTGGCCCTTATAGTCCTGTGGAGGATGTGTGTTTACCCTGAACATACCTTCAACCACACTGCTGACAACAATGAGCTCCCAACCTTTCCCACAGTCACAGACCCAAGGCTCCAGCATGCGTCGTGGCAACCTGGTATGGCAACACACACACACACACACACACACACACACACACACACACACACACACACACACAGAAATAGCATCAGCGAGCTACATGAGGCCTTGCACTGAAAAGACTGTATGTTTTGATTGCAGAGCCTTGACATTTTTAAAGGCTCTGTATGCGCGTGTGTGTGTGTTCCTGTTGCTTTGCATTGCAGCCCTCAGGGCCAAGTATGAAAGCCCCCCATTCTACAGACCCACTGATGTTCAAACATGCCTTTGAGTTCATCCATTAATCTTAACGCTTGCTAGAGCCAGCCATTACAAGCAGGAAGTTTACTATGATGTGCTCCAATTTGCTATCTGAACCCTGACCCGGTTATGAATGTTATGAGGCCAAAAGAAAAGCACTTTAGTTGGATAACATAAACAGCTCAAACAAACATGCACAGTTTAAAACTGCTTATACTGGACTGTGACTAGAGACTGATTTCATTATTGATTCATCTGTTGTTTATTTTCTTGTAAAAAAAAAAAAAAAAAAAGTGAAATATGCCCTTTATACTTTTCTTAAAGACCAAGACAGCTTCTTCAAATTGCTTGTGTTGTCTGACCAAACCCAAAGATATTCTGTTTACTATCATATATGCTGGAGAAAAGCAATATAAACCCTAACCAGCAAAAACGACTGAAAAGATTTATCAATCTTGCTGATTGTCTATCAACTCACTAATTCTATAATGAACTACTGGTTTTACCTCTTCACTTATTGACTATATTTTTATAATATTGTATGTACTTTAAACCTTTAAACCCTGAGCAAGATGTGATTTCTTTTAAAAACATGGGGGAAAAGGAAAGGCAATGAGCAACTTGGTAATAAATGTCCCACTTATTGCAAAAAAATTAATAGATTTAGAAGATTATTTGAAAAAATTAAAAAAAAACAACAACTATATTATAAATATTTTATTATTTTTTTATTTATTTTTATTCTAATTAATCATTATACTTTTTAAGAACTTCCTCTTTATACTTTTTTTTTAAAAACTAATTTTCTTGTTTTCAAATTGCTCATTTTGGGTCACTTCTTTTTGGTTGCTCATCGCCTTCTTCCTATGTTTTTGAAAGAAATTAAGCCAGTTTGCTCAGGTTTCAATGGGTTAAAGCTGAAATAGTGACAAGGGTGAGATGGAAATGTAAACCGCAGGAATCTATAAAGATAGCACAATTTGTATACTCAAAACAGTATTATGTGGCCACAAATAAATATAATAATTATTTAGAGCATGCTGTTTTTAATCCCTAAAGAAAGGATAGACTGGAAAGTAAAGCAATGGAATATTATAATACATAAACGTTTTGTGTTTTATCATAAAGTTTATTTTTAGTTTGAAGATAAAGAGTCAAAATTTTTGCCACACACTGCAGATGGAAGATAATTTGCTGCATTACTATTGCACAAAGAAAAACTATAGCGAATTTAATTGGCTCATTTCGCACTGTCCCTAATATTGACCAATCACAAATACGAGTGGGCGGGGCTTGAAACTCGAGGGTTGTTTTTTTTTTTTTCTTTTTTCTTTTTTTTTTTCCCTTTGCACCGTTTGTCTGGTGGCAGAGCAGAGGGAGGGGTATGAGCCGAGAGTGTTGTTGTCTGTCGCTGCTGGGGACACACTGAGCTGCCAAGGTCGGTGAAAGTACTGCTGAAACCACCGTAACATCCATAAAAGTACTACCTCAAGACACACACAGGTGAGTTTTTGTGTTTAACCAACTTTTTATCCGTGTTTAGTGGGCGCTGAGTTGGATTTCCTTCAACTGGTGTCGTGCCAAACTGTGTATCCCCGTCAAATCAGTGACTGTCAGACGAGTTCACATGGGAAGAGATGCCGGGGAGGAAGCGCTAACTTGCTAGCTAACGTTAGCCGCTTTTGAGCGCTAAAATTAGTCATGTGTCGGTGTGAAGCGTTGTGCGAGTGTAACTGGAGTTTTATTTATTACCGCTTGTGCCCTGTATTGTCCCCCGGACTATTTTCTGAGGAAATACCATTTGCTGTGTTTGCCTGACAGCAGTGCCGGCTAACGGGCGGACTATAGCCAGCAAACCAAGCAGCAGCCGAATTGGAGCCACATCTCCTCTGAGTTTCCCTGTATCCAAATTATTTAATTACTGCTGTATTTTGATCCTTAATCGTTTGAATGAGTGGAGAGTGAGTGAGGTTAAATGCTTTGGGACTCCGGTTTGCGACATGTTATAATAACTTAACAACTCTTTCCATCCGCAATCACTGCGTACAAACAACTGTGTGGAGTTTACCACTAACTGACAACAGTGTAACGTTACTGTACTTACACTGGCAGGTGGCAGGGACAAAATATGAGTTTATTCCTTTCAACTGTTCTTATCTGGGACTTTCTCAAGCTGTGTAACGGGTAGTAAAGCCCTGTAATACTGGTTTAGTTAGTTGTTGTTTTTTGGGTCTCAGACTTTGGTTGTAAATGCCGGACAGCAGCTGTTTCTTCCCCTCTGTTAACACGAGCAGCCAATGAGTGACTCTATTTTGCCCCATGGGATGTTATTGGAGTACATTCTTCATTACATCCAACAACAGCAATCAGCCCAGTATTATGAGCCATTGCAGTGTTGAGGTGTAGATGATGGTATCCAGTAATATTCAGTATGGGATGGGGGGCTCAAGTTACACAGTTGGTATTGATTTTTTGAGAAATTAGTCATGATTAAGGATTTTCAAAGAACTGAGTCCACATTTTTTTGCTGTCTGATACACAGCAACACTCATTTGTGTGAACCAGTTAACTAAGCAAGGGCTTAAAGAGTCAGGATTCAAAATGAGTAACACATTTGCCACCAGCTTAACATTTAAAACCACCCTGAGATGCCAAATTTGGGGGCTCCTGAGAGGAATGTGCTTCATCGTGTATCTCGTTGCACTGAAATGGCGCTCTTTTGTTGAAGAGGACATACAGCAACAGCTGCACTCCTCAACAACAGTGTGTGTGAGTGTGTGGGTGCATGCGTGCACATGTGTGCATATGGGTTTTGTGTCAGTTGGTATGCCAGTCTGTAATTGCAGCATTTCTGGAATGCTGGTTGAATTCTGTGACTTAAACATATCGGACAATGGCTGTTGTGGATGAACCTGATCTCTCATGGAAGAAGTTAAAATGCTTTGCATGTTCTTTGCATGGCCTGATCTACGTGTGCACCTCAGTATTCACTTTAACACCATGGAGACAAGTTAGGGCACGCAGGGCTTCATATATAGTAAAGAATCACATATTATGTGGCACAAACCAAGTCTTGTTCTCTTTGACTCTAGAGAGGTATCAGAATGTTGCTTTTGTGGTGATGTTAGACTGTAGCTTAGGTCATAGTTTAAAGTAGCAAGACCCCTATTTAGCACAGTCACCCCAGAATATTTATATAGATGTTTAAAACAAACGTATATTGCTTTTGCGACCAGTTGATGCGTTGCTTTGGAGCATCCCAGTGATGCCTGGCAGAGTGGGTTTTTTGATAACTAAACTCACCTGATAATCTTATCCTTTGTTCCAAATGTGCGACTAATGTAAACTGACTAATCAGTTTGTGTTGGGTTTTGTGTGGCGCTCATGAACCATGTAAAGCTTTCAGATGCTGTGCTGAAGCGATGCAGTGCCGCAAATGAGAGAATACTGAAAAGAGCAAAAGGCATGTCAGACTTTACAAGTGTGTCTTGGCAGAGTCTGAATGCGGCGTGCTTCTGTGTGTGTGTGTGTGTGTGTGTGTGTGTGTGTGTGTGTGTGTGTGTGTGTGGCTGAAACTTTGCTCGACCATGTCTCTGGCAGAGCAGTAGCTGTTAGATTGCAGTTTTATGCATGGTAGTTTTGTTCTCTCACCGCTCCATGTTTGCGTCTGTGACAGAAAAACAGGATATGGCATCTCACACCCTCTTGAACATTGCCATTTCTTCACATTGTGGTTTTTAACCTGCCGTTACAGGTTGCCTGAGACAAGCAGGGGGGAAAGCCTTTGTGTTGCATCGTAGTGTTTCTTTTGTACTTATTTAGCACTGCTAGGCTGAACACTGCCACAACTTCTGAGGAAAATGAAATAAAAAAAGGAATGCTTAAATGCTAACTATAGACAAGTATGCTGAAGATGTTAAGTATTATTTTATTTAACATGATAGGGCAGCCAGGTATGAAGTGTCACCATTGCAGCCCCCACAGTAATCAAAACAGGACTGAAATATGCATTGATGTTAAACCCAAAGTAAAACTACACAGGAACACATGCCGATATCACTTTTGGGTTGAGTATGTGTTGTCGTGATCAAAGAAACACAGCATCCACCTGAAACATGGTTAGCAAGCTGGCACTGATGCTACCCTCTGATGTGTGAAATATGATGACTACAGCCATTACAGTCATATTACAGAGAGGCATCCAGCCACTGAAATGTGCTGCTCTAAATTCTCAACAGGCCGGATAAAGGTAATGTGATATTTGCAGTTAAGCTGTTCTCAAACTCCCAAATGCTTGCAGCAGCGGTTTTTGTTTGTTGGAGTCCAACTATGAATCACAAGTTGCTTTGTGACACTAAATGAGAGAACCCAAAGGATTTCCTTCCAGCGCTGCACTCTGTGCCAAGTCTAATATCTGATTTTAGGATTTAGCTGAACAAGCAGTGTGAAGCCTTCTTGTATCATTATTTTACTTTTGATGCCAACTAAGGTTGGCCTGCAGCACTGCAGCACTGCAGACTGCTCATTTGATCACACATTTGTTTATGTGTGTCAGATTTTGGCCAGACTTATAGTTCCTCCTGAATTCATTCAACTGTAGAATGAGAACGTCACTGTTGCATCAATAGAAAACAAATAGAAAGTAGCAATCATCATTTTTAAGCTAAAGCAAGTATGGGAACTGTTTGTCGGTATGACCTTAACTAAGCAACTGTCACCAAATCTAAAATGGCTAATATAAAATATGTGGCTTTAAAGCAGGTGTAGGCAATTTTATTTTAGTGCCATAGGGCAGTTATCCCATAGTAGACTTTGAGCAGCTTGTAATTCAGGTGGTCTGAGAGAACTCTAGGCTTCTCCTCTGTTTGGTTCTGTTTCCAGGCTTCACAAGACCTAGCTTGTGATGGGAGACTTTGGCCAAATACAGGTAATTTCAGAGAGAGGGCGTTCCTATTGGCTGTTCCACAGATGTGTGTCCAGGTCTCTTCGGTGAAAGCCTGATTTAATGGAGAAAGAGAAAATGTTGCTAATATTTTAGCCTTCTGCTAACCAGAGCTAAAGGCTCATAGCTGCGGCTTCAAGTTTGCATTTATTTAGCTAACATTAGCTAGAGCCTTGAATCACAGTGTGCCCTCTGCCTCACTTCCTGCCGCTAGAGACCCCCTCGCCAGGAGGAGAGCTGGCAGCAGCTCGAGAGACAGACCCCCAGTCAGCGGCCACAGCAGCCCAAATCCAGGCAGCGCAAACCCCAGCTTCGGGGATCAGACAGCCCTGACTTCACACCGGATCAACAAACTTTCTGTTGCTGCTGTTACACAAGTCTTACACTACTCTGGCCGCCAGCCCACTGTGACAACCAGTGCTCAGGCATTTGCGCTGGCTGAATTCAAGCCACTACAGCCCCCAGTTGAGGGTCCATCTCCGTGAGCTGCGACCGGCTCTTCTCCTGGGGAACAGTCCACAGTGGCAGGGAGCAAAGCGGAGGGACTGTGGGGTGGCTAGCTCGCTAATTCTTGTCTCATTCATGGTCTGATGAAGAGAGAGAGGGCATGGGGCAAGGAAGGGCTGAGCGAATTTGCTCTGCACAATTCTACAATGAAACAGGGTTAAATAAATCAATACACAGGAAACACTGGGTTACTGTATGGAGTGTGTGCATATGCTTGTGGTTGTCTTGTGAGAGGGGATTCGGACAGAGAAGAGAGAGGGAAGAGCTGCAGGTGGACGGTGTATTCTCGAATTCTCCCATTTTTATTTTGCCTTGTCCAGATTTCTGCCCACACCAGATTTAAACATCTTTTTTTTTTTTTTTTTAGTTCATGGCTACATTGTACACATCCTTTCAGCAGAAGCTCAACACTTTACACTTATTCAAAACTTTATATCATTGAGACTGAACAAACTGGCTAAGAAGTCCCTCAGCTCCTCATCTCCTAGCTCCGAATGCTCGGCGTTCCTCCTGTTGTCAACGACTAATCATCCAGTTTACCGTGGACCACCAGCCACCGCTGACTCAGCCAACGCTGCCATCTGGGCTGGAACAGAAAACACAACAGACTTCTCACTGGCTCTAGAGCCTCAGATGCTCAGCTAACAGATTTTGTGTGTGTGTGTGTGTGTGTGTAAGTGTGTGTAGGTGTGTGTGTGTGTGTGTGTAAAGTGAAAGATAGAAATAAACTGTTTACAGTAATGTGAAGACAGAGAGAAAATGGGAATATGAAAAATCACATATTCTGTTGCTTTCTATCAGATACTATTGCAACACTCAGAGGGCCAGCAGTCAATATAGAATCAAGATTAAAGAAAGTTGACAAAATGAGCCCTCCCATTCAAACATGCACGTTCTGTTATTCTGACTAGATCTTTATCAAGGTTAAAGTTGGTAAAACTACAATAATATTATGATACTTAAATGAAGATACAATATTATTGCAGTTTTAAATATCTTCAGTATTGTGATAACGTATACTGCGCCATTATACCTTCTTTTCCAACTGTAAATTATGTGCCCAAAGCAAAACTTTGTCAACATCTGTTTTATCTAATAAGATATAGTTTTCAGTCTGTTCATCTCACTTCAGACATTTTCTGCAGCAGCAAAATGTATCTAGTGGACTGAAAAAGCAAGTGATTATATTATTCTAGTAGGCTACCTAAAGTTTGATTTGTTTTGTCTTATTAATAAGTTATGTAATAAAAAAAACGATACTTGGCACTGTGTGACACTACGATATTGCCACACAAGAATACCGCTGTACTAAGCTGTACGCCCAGGAGTCTTTGGAAAGCAGTATTGATACTGAGTGGATTATCCTGCTAAAATGAAGTGAACTAAACTATACACAGCAGTGTTTGGGCTCAATGTAGGCAGTGTAGATGAAGTAAAGCACAAAAATAAAGTGCATGCAACATCTTGACTTTGCTTGTTTCTATGCCTTTACCATGTGTATGAAATGTTGGTGTGACTGCAGCATCAGGAGAAATCTAATCAAGAACAGTAAGTAAAACACCTGTGTGGTTGGACCAAGGCTTTATAGGGGCTTTATGAATGTGTGAAGTAATCACGATCAATAATAGTACATTTTTAAGAAATTTTGACATGTCAAGGTAAGAAAATAAATGATGACTGAATTCCAGTTAGCTGCTTCAGTTTCATTGTGCATGCTGGCACACTGCCCCACTTTCATGGCTTAACAGAACATTTGAATACAACATAGCCAGCATTAACATTATTAGTAGTAACACCTGTGCTTTTCCCTACTGTGACAGGTCAAAATGCTTGCTATGAATAAGGCCTTAGACTCAGGGCTGTCGTTTTAGCCATAATTGTGTTCCCACTTACACAAGAAGTCTTTTCAGTCCCACAATTTGGCAAAGCAGGATTAATAAATCTCAGCTGTTAGGAAGGCTTAGCTCTTAAAAGCTTAAAGTGTTTTAACACTTAAGCCACCAGCGTTCAATGTTCACCAGGAATAATGTCCTCCAAAATTTTTATTCATTATTGGCTGTTCTCGATCCCCTCCTGTTTTTATTACTTTCCAGAAATTAGTTATATGTGTGAAGTCGACCACGGCTTTGTCGCAGTCAAACACCATGCGAACCACTGTCTGCTCCGAGTTCCTGTTTTACCCCAAACTACCTGTCTGCCTCTCTCTTTATCTGCCTGTCTGCCTGTCTGCCTGTCTGCGAGAATGAGTGTGTGTCCAACTGCGCTGCTTTATGACCCTGCACACTTCCCGCTCACGTTTCACTTTTTATACTCACATCCTGTCAGCAGTACAACAGCTCTCTGCAAATCTGTTTGCTGTGCAGTGTCAGTGCGCTCTCGCTACTATTGTGCAGAGGCCGTGCTTGTAATTGTCAGTCCTGCTAAGTTTATTATCCCTCAAGTGCTCCAGTATTACCGTTAATATGTTTTTCTTTGGTTTGTCCTAATGTTGTTCGCTCATATAACAACATAGACTCTCCACAGAAATAATTTAAGCTTGTTTTATGATAGGAAACTACATTTTTTTTGGTTAACTAAGAGGGCTTCAAATCCTCAACTCTCAAAACCTCAAAACACATAGCCCACTTGTGCTAAGTTCCTGCTTGAATAATGTTGTGATGAAAATTTCTGACTCCCTGTTTTCATTTTTTTTAATTTCTGTTTAAGTTATATTTCTCATGCTGCCTCATGTCAGATAAGTAACCTGTTGTGTTTGAAACCTGAGTGGTGGTACGCCTGGGTCATTTAAAATGCACACCATCTGTCCTATTGATTTTGTGCAAACTACTTTCAACAAGCGGCTTCTTTGCTTTGGCAGTTTATTTATGCACAAGTGCCCAAAGCATTGTACTTTCTAGGCCACTGGAAAATTGGAAAGCTTTGGAAAATGTGTTATGGCACAAAGCTAGGTTGAAAATTGTGAAACTACAAGATAAAGAGTAACTCAGATTGAATCAGTCCGATCCTTTCATTCTTTGTCTTGTGTCATGCTACTTGGTGATCATATTTATACTGCACAAACACTATATAAAAGCAATTTTTGACTCGTTTCTGTTTACATAGTTTATTGCCATTTAACAAATGTCTCACTTCTGCTCTGTGAATCCCACTCTCTGGTTTATGAAGTGAAATTACCTGCAAGCCACTTCTCTTTTGCTGGCACGATGCTCCTGCCAAACAGACAGCATACTCAGTTGGTTTGTGATAAAAGGTTTGTGATACAAATATGTATCACAGAATGCACCATTAGCTGGATGTATAAGACACAATATTTAACCTTGGCAGAGATAATAGAGCTGACTGTGTGCTGCCACACCACCTGTTTTTCTGCATTTCCACAGCTGGCAGAAGGATCTTGGCCTCTGCCTCTGTCTGGCTTTTTGCAATTCAGCAGCACTCTCACTGATCTCAGCAGGTGCAGGAACCCAGAGATTTACAGCTGTTTATTGTTCATGACAAGCTAATAGTCTGTGAGAGCAGAAATATTAGGATGTTAAAGAGGACAGCCGTCACGCTTTAGTGAAGAGGGTGTATCAGTACAGAAAACCAGTGATGTGAGCAAAACAACAGCAGTTAGGTCAGGACAGGTCATTGACTGTGTCACAACTGATTTCCTGTGTGTGTGTATACACTGTATGACTACACTGTGAAATACATTGTAGAGTGTATGTTGGGGTTATAATTATTAATGCTGATTAGTCGGCTTCAGTTCACATTAGAGGGCTTGATGCTCAGTTCTGAGTATCCCCCCAGATCCAATCTTTCTAATAAGACACATGCATGTTTAGATGCATGTTTGAAGTGACCCATATCTGACATCAGTCTGTACAGCCCCTTTTACACTCTTCATGGCGGGAGTTTCACGCCGTAAAGCTGCCCCGCAATTTTACATGTACAGCCGTGGAATGGGGGACAGAATTGTCTCGCCCTTTAGCCGACATCTGAGGTAATAACTGCGCCATAACGATGTCTGTAGGAAAGGGACATTTGGCAGGATGGGTGGCACGGGTGTGGCGTTTTGACGATGTGTTATGTGTGACTCATTGTGGTAGATTTGAAAAAATAGCTGATAGCAATTATCAGCTAACTCAAGAAGGAGCAGCAGATGAAAGTGTCCACAAATTGGGAAAACAATGACTTCGGGAAGCTCCTTGCCCTTCGAGCATGAGATCAGGGGCCATATAACAGATGCGGTAAATGATTGTCATAGCCATATTAATGCCATTTTTATTTTTGATAATGCGCTGCCAACATGTATGTTATATGCCACACTAGAGGCTGATGCTGTTGTGTTTCATCACGCCCTATGTATATAAATAATATATATTACTACACTCTAGTCATCCTGCTGTAGCTTGTGTCACTCAGCCCTCCAACGCACACGCACACACACAGACCAGCATTTAACACTCATGACAACATCCATGTTACGAAACTATCACATTTTTTTATTGAGCTTCACATAGGCTTACATTATGACAGACTCACGATGAGACCTGGACCTGTATTATTGGCAGGTCAAAAAAACTTTTTTTTTTAAAAAAAAAAGAGCGGAAAAAAGGTTTGTGTCCCAAAAAGGACATCGGCCCACTGGGAAATTGCCGGTATGCCAGATGCCTAGTCCACCCCTGGGCTCTATAGCATGATCTCTGTAAAAAGGGCTAAGGGATCTCTACCCTGATAGGCCTCACATGCAACCAGTAACGTCACACACGTGTGTCGGAGCAATAACAGAAAATAGCAAAACAGGCTTTTGGGGGGAAAATGAATGAGTGGTGCAAGCTTCATCTCCTGAATGATTCCCATAGCAGGAACATCCAGTGATGTCCCACTGCATCATAATTAGCCATGTTCTTCTGTTTGGAAGAGTGTCCAGCACAATTTTTGGGAGAAATGGCCCTCTGGAGCGATGGACGTTTCTTTTCAGAATAAAAGGCTGTCGTACAAACGGCCTGTAAGTCCACTATCTCTATTAGTAGCCACTTCTGGATGTTCTGTGGCTAGGAGAGGAGTCAGGAGTGGTGAGGCCACGATGTGGAGGGTTTTCCGGAAGAACATGTCCTCCAAATCTTAGGATGTCCAGGGCTACATTACAGTATCTCACAACAAGGCTGCCATGACAGATAGGCAAGCTATACCAGAAGGCATCTAGCAGTAAGGCTCTATTGGCTGGTGACCGGGGAAGCGTACTGCATCAGTGGTACGATATGGCAGCCTTCTGTAGTTTCAACAGACTGCTCTGACACTGTGTGGTGAATGATCTGCTGCTTGGCAGTGAAGTATGATGTGCAAAAACCCTGAGTGTATGGGGAAAAACACACAAATTCCAATATGACAGTCCTCACAGCGGTCGCGTGGTCAGAAATCAGATGTGTATTGCATTTAGGATCACAAATGGCCCAGATCTGATGGGGAAAAAAAGGATTTATGTTGCTGCACTACTCTGAAAAAAATCAGTCTGTGTCATGTGACGTGATAATTTTGATTACATTATTATTTGGAGGTCCAGACTCAAGAGGGTGTCACAAGAAAAATAGATATTTTCTTTGTGTTGCATACATGCAGGAGTCCTACTAAATTTACAGTATATAAATGTTAAGTTAATTAATTGTGCAGTCAGTCTCTGTATAAAAATAGAAATGTTCAGTTGTTCCTGAAACTTGTCACGTCTCAGTTTGGCAAAGATTAATATAGCACTGTTGTCACTTTTAGTATTTAGAGTTCCCATTCTCTTACATTGTGTTCTGCTTGTGCTTTGCACAGGCTCCTTTATTTGCAACTGAGTGTGTGTTAAGATAAGACTTTCACTTACCAGGCAGGGACGCAAGATTTACAGCCCGCAGACCCAGAGCGAAGGCAACAAAGTGAAAGCAGTGTAAGGAGGACTAAAACAATTGGCCAAGGTATGTTGCATGACTAACTGAACAAATGCATTTGATCTTGGCCTCGATCAAGCACCACTTGTCTGATGACAGAAACCAAAAGCATGATCTGTAAAAGCATTGTCTGTTAGACCAATCTAAAGTGGTTAGCAGTGATCCTTACCAGTAGGGCCAGCATTCACGAAAAGCCATAAATAGTTGTTCTCATAAGGAACACCCCTGTGCCCCACTCCCTGTGTTGGTAGAGCCTGTTTTTGTACAAATTACCAAGAGACCATTTCCCTGAGCTGTGAACAATAAGCTCAGCACCATGGATCTTCTAGCACAGCATTTTTGGGGTTGATTATGTCGGGTTTTGTGAATTATTTATCCCTATTAATCATGCACACAGTGTTAATGCTGATAAATAAAATCAGTAATCTTTTCACTTAGCTTGAATAAGCTATGAAGTAAGTAGTAGTAAGTGGTGTAGTGCAATAACCTAAATCCTAGACATTATTCCATCATGATATCACAGGATCGATGAGCAACAGTAGTTCACAGCCCTAGTTTATCTCCTTGAATCCCAAAAAATATATCTACTTGGACTGTTAAAAGTGGCTTTGAATAAATGCATGTAGCAAAAACTTTGTTTGTAAACATCAAAGCAGACATAGGATCTATGAACAATTCAGCATTTGTTGATTTGGTCATTTATAGGTAACACTTACGACAGCAGTACAACTGTTTGAGTACAGGTTGGCATTATCTTGCTAACAGGGTAAAGGTAGCCTCTGTTAGCATAGTTTGGGTGCCTCCACCCAGCAGAGAAGGAGCCTGTAGTGGTGGAAATTGCTTGATGGTCTCACATACACACTGGGTAACACTAGTTTCACACAAGACTCAGTCATACACAGACATGGTTCCCTTTGTATCTGCAATGCTGCTGACATGCAGGGCTTGGCAGAACAGAAGTGGCATTGAGCAGAGACGTAGGAGGAATTTCTACGCCTGGAGTCCCACTCTACGCAGCAATGGCTGCTAGTAACCAGACAGCCACTCTGCCTCCTCCTCCTCTCTAAATACCAAACGCCCTCCTTAACTTTCCTACTTGCTTTTTGCCTTGATTTCTTTTCCTTCTTGTATTGTTCTCTTCATGCACTCTTATGTGCCTTGGCAGTCTGTCTCTCTATCCCACTTTCTCTTTCTCAGCATTGACAGAGGCCTCTCAGAGTTGTTTACTACATCCACTGACCCCCCCCCCCCCCCCCCCCCCCCCCCCCCCCCCCCCCCCCCCCCCCCCCCCCCCCCCCCGCCTCTCCTCAGCTCTGTGAACATAAAAAATGACCACTGTGAGTTTTTGTCTCTGTTGCCATTATCAGCATCCCTCTCTCTACACCAGAGGCCAGATGTGGAGGAGGGATAGTGGTGAGTTTGTAATGAGCAAGTGTAGAATTGGGCAGCTGGCCCAGCTGACTGAACCAGAGGGCACACAGAGCCAGCAGCTCAACAGAGCTGAGTACTGCTGCTGAGGACTAGACTCAGTGTCACTGACTCAAGTGTGTGTGAGCCAGTGGCTGTGTGACATGCTATGTAATGGTTTGTGAGTGAGAGCATTTCAAGGAGCAACACGAGTACTTAAAAATGAGCTGTGCTTGATGTACAAGTCCTAACTACTAAAGAGTTCTTCAGTGTGTACGGAGCGTTTAGAGCACAGTTAATGGACCATAACAGTTGAATCCTGTGCTGGTATGTGAAGCTGACTCTAAGAGGGAAGATAAAGAGTGTCAATAACACGGCAGAGAGAAGCAAGGCTGCCATTGTGGTGGTGCTGGGCAGGTTTCTCCTTCTCCACCCAGCCCACCCTCTCCCATGCCTTGCAGCAGCACCCCCCCCCCCCCCCCCCCCCTAGCCTGTGTCCATATTAGGGCAAAACTCAGCCAACCTCCCCTGGAGCTGAGCTCAACCCCCCAACACGCCCTGCTGTCACATTTGCTCCAGCGAAGGGAGCCTGAGGGAGACGCAGCTCCCCTAACCCAATTTGAAGGCCTGTTTTCAGAGCCAGTCAAAACAGCACAAGGATTTTAAAATGGATGCAGAAAGCCGAGGCTAACCTTGGTTTGTTTTTGAAGTGGCTGGTGTGTTTTAATGTTTATTTCTGAGGACCTGTAGTTAATGGGCTTAACTTGAGCAGAGCTTGACCATATGCCACTTGGTGATCACTTTTTGCCAAAGTGCCACGTTGTTTTATACCTGCATACATCCTTAGTTTGAGTCACCCCAAGATTATAGAGCCCATAATCCCATAAAGCTGCACTGGTGCCAAGCTCCACTTATTGTGCAATCATTAATGGTATCAGTTTTTATCACAGTTGTGCTTCCCAACTTTACTTAGTCCTGGTGCTTGTTCATAATTGTTTTAGGACACCAAACTAACAGTAGCAACACTCAGCAGGCACTGAGGTAGTGAGTGTGCACAGATTATACCAGGTCAAAGGTCAACACAACATACGTAGATGGTTTGGCTCATTTGTGTAGAGATTCAGTGCCAACATTATTAGTGAATTTTAGAGTGAAAACACTCAATAAGACCGAAGAGAAGCGGTCTGTACACAGTATGCTGCTGTGGTACTATAAAGGCACCTTGGATCACACTGGTAGTGTGAGACACACTAGTTAAACAATTGGTATGTGCTTGCCAGTCATTTTCCTAGAGATTCCCAAACAGAAGTTATTTTGGGTCACTGGTGTTGATTTTGGTTTCCTGTGGTTTATACAAAATCCCTCTCAGAGGAAATGGGTTGACTTAACAGACATAAGAAGTATTGGGTTAGTACATAGACATGTCAGACCTGGGACAGTTCCTCTCGTCTAACTGGAACCTACTATCTAATCACGTCTTGTGAACACACAACTTGATAGATTTGGATGAGTACACACTAGCCAAAGAACTGATAGAGCAATAAAACTACCTGGTTATTATTTGAATCAGAAATCCAGTCAAGCAACAATGTAAAAACAAAAAAACATAGGTTGAATATGGTTCAGTACATGCCACATTTTTGGGTTCACAATTTGATATGTTTGTGCCATAGTTGGGAAAATGAAAAATAATATTTTTTTCCATTTCTTTTTTTTAAAAAGTCTACACTAAAAGCAAGGTATTTGGCCACATTTGTTGCTGTACAAAAGGCAGGAGGCACTCAAACATTGCATTATGGTCAATGAAAGAACTAAATGCACTGTGGCATTATGTCGCTGTAGCATGTTATAAGTAATATCAATCAATCAATCAATTTTATTTATAAAAATCCCAATATCACAAATCACAATTTGCCTCACAGGGCTTTACAGCATACAACATCCCTCTGTTCTTTGGACCCTCACAGCGGATAAGGAAAAACTCCTCAAAAAACCCCTTTAATAGGGAAAAAAACAGTAGAAACCTCAGGAAGAGCAACTGAGGAGTGATCCCTCTTCCAGGATGGACAGACGTGTAATAGATGTCGTACAGAACAGATCAGCATAATAAATTAACAGTAATTCGTGTGACACAATGAGACAGAAAGAGAGACAGAGAGGGAGAGGGAGAGAGAGAGAGAGAGAGAGAGAGAGAGAGAGAGAGGGTGCCCGGTGTATTATAGGGGGTCCTCCGGCAGACTAGGCCAAAGTCTGCCTAACTAGGGGCTGGTACAAGGCAAGCCTGAGCCAGCCCTAACTATAAGCTTTATCAAAGAGGAAAGTCTTAAGTCTAGTCTTAAATGTGGAGACGGTGTCTGCCTCCCGGACCGTAACAGGAAGATGATTCCATAGGAGAGGAGCCTGATAGCTGAAGGCTCTAGCTCCTGATCTACTTTTGGAGACTTTAGGGACCACGAGTATCCCTGCGTTCTCAGAGCGCAGTGTTCTGGTTGGACTGTGAGCTCTCTAAGATATGACGGAGCTTGACCATTTAGAGCTTTATAAGTTAACAATAGGATTTTAAATTCAATTCTGGATTTTACAGGGAGCCAGTGTAGCGAAGCTAAAACAGGAGAAATATGATCTCGTTTCTTAGTTCCTGTTAGTACATGTGCTGCTGCATTCTGAATTAGCTGGAGAGTTTTTAAGGACTTACTAGAGCTACCTGATAATAGAGAGTTACAGTAATCCAGCCTTGAGGTAACAAAAGCTTGGACCAATTTTTCTGCATCTTTTCGGGTCAGGATAGGCCTAATTTTCGCAATATTACGCAGATGAAAAAATGCAGTCCGTGAGGTTTGTTTTAAATGAGAATTAAAAGACGAATCTTGATCAAATGTTACTCCGAGGTTTCTTACGGTAGTGCTAGAGGCCAGAGCAATGCCATCTAGAGAAACTATGTCATCAGATAAAGAGTCTCTGAGTTGTTTGGGGCCAAGAACAATAACTTCAGTTTTGTCTGAATTTAACATCAGGAAATTGGTGCTCATCCAGGTTTTTATGTCTTTAAGGCAGTTATGGAGTTTAGTTAATTGAATTGATGGTCAATAGTGTCAAACGCCGCACTAAGATCTAATTAAACAAGTACAGAGACGAGTCCTTTGTCTGAAGCAATCAGAAGGTCATTTGTAATTTTAACTAGTGCTGTCTCAGTGCTATGATGTACTCTAAATCCTGACTGAAGTTCCTCAAGTAAATTATTATCATGTAGAAAATCACACATCTGGTCTGCGACTACTTTCTCAAGGATCTTTGACAGAAAGGGAAGATTAGATATTGGTCTATAGTTGGCTAACACCTCTGGATCCAGGGTGGGCTTTTTTAGTAGAGGTCTAATTACAGCTACCTTAAAAGACTGTGGTACATAGCCTGTTAATAAGGATATATTGATCATATCTAATATATGAGTGTTAACCAAAGGTAAGACCTCCTTAAGTAGCCTAGTTGGGATGGGGTCTAAGAGACAAGTTGATGATTTAGATGAAGAAATCACTGCGGTTAATTCTTGAAGAGAAATTGGGGAGAAGCAATCTAAATGTATATTAGGTCTTACAGCTGTGTTTGAGGTTAGATAAGGTAGG